TTCATGTAGTCCACCTACGACCAGATGCGGTCGGGGAGATCTCATGTGTCCGACAAGTTTATCTTAACGTAGCACTTTGGATGGTGTCAGCTTTATCACATAGAGCAGGTAATGTTTTAGGTAATCGATTACATAGAGGAGATCAGACTTTAGGTGATCGATTACATAGAGGAGATCAGACTTTAGGTGATAGATTACATAGAGGAGATCAGACTTTAGGTGATCGATTACATAGAGGAGATCAGACTTTAGGTGATAGATTACATAGAGGGGATCAGACTTTAGGTGATCGATTACATAGAGGAGATCGGACTTTAGGTGATCGATTACATAGAGGAGATCAGACTTTATGTGATAGATTACATAGAGGAGATCAGACTTTAGGTGATCGATTACATAGAGGTGATCAGACTTTAGGTGACCGATTACATAGAGGAGATCAGACTTTAGGTGATCGATTACATAGAGGAGATCAGACTTTAGGTGATCGATTACATAGAGGAGATCAGACTTTAGGTGATAGATTACATAGAGGAGATCAGACTTTATGCGATAGATTACATAGAAGAGATCAGAATTACGTCGGCAGATTATAAAAAAGAATATCAGATTTTTTTATTTGACAGATTGCATATAGCATATCAGAATTTCGGTGATTGCTTACATCACATCACATCACACTATCATGGTCATCACACAGAAGTAAGATCAGATTTAAAGGTTTCAGAGATAAACGTTGAATCCGTTACTTGGGGTCTCTTGAGTTGGAACCATCGCTTGCTCAACCGGGTGGGTTGACATCACAACCAAATCCGCATACATTGAAAAGCATTGACTGAGTGACGCCTGGGGAAGCAACAACACACGTCAGGATTATTGCTTACCAATTCGATACACGAAGTCAACCATAATGTGCTTTGAAAGGCTCTCAGCCGAAACGTCGAAATCTTTTGTCCTGTCCATGAATTCAAGTTTAGCCTACACCGTCCTTGTATGTCATTGAATGACTCGAGAACACGAACTTTTGGCGTAGTCATTTGAAACAGAGGGAGGTCGCTCTTTAGAATTTTTTTTGTTTTTCAAAAGACACCAACCTGTGTTCTGGGATTGAAAGACACGCTTCATTGAAGTAGTTCAGTGATTCCCACTCTGTTGTCTACCGACCAAAGATTCAACTGTGCAACTTTAAAATTCTAGAAATATAGCTAACCAAAAAAAAAAAAAAAAAAAAAACCCAAACAAAA